AGTTTGCTGACTCTACCCATGAAGGCTTTTATTTAGAGAAACAAAAGAACTTGATAGCAGCTGCTTCTGAGTAATTGCTCTCCATGCAGGCACAGTCCGATGCTTGTGACTAGTAGCTGGAGATCAAAGTCTCCTGGTTTTATTCTTATCATGAACAAAAATCTTCCTCTTGTAGACTGAGAGTACCTCATAGAGAAGCATGAGTTGAGTAAAGCAGCTAATTAGTAAGATTGTGGTATCTAATTTGAAAGCAAACCACATTTTTTGAAAGTTGGTTCATGAAATGAGAGGGATGAAGGTTTCAGCATCTCAGTGTTTAATCTGTCATGGAAAAAAATATGTTAGAAAGTAAAGGCAGAGGCTGCAAAGTAAATTATGGTCATTGTATGTCCTTTTCTTTATTCACAAGTATTGATGCTTGAGAGGAAAATGAAGTTTGTAGGGCTCCCTTCACTGGCAAGGTCCCTCCCTCCTTCCCTCCACATTCAGTGGTTTGGGGTGAATTCACTGAAGAATGAATAAAACATGTAACAGAGCCTGCAGTGGACCTCTGAATGGCTCTATTTATCAAGTAAACAGAATTAATAGTTGGAGTTAAATGAAAAGAGCATCATACATCCTATTTAAAAGTTTGACTTTCTCTGCTCATCAGTGAAAAATTTTTTTCTTTTCTTATCAAAGTCAGCCAGACTAGAATAATTCTGGTGAATACTTCATGTCCTATCTTTCTGGATTATTTGATAAGAAAGGCCAAAAGGCTGGAGCAAGGCTTTTATTTTACATGCCAAAGGGGTTTGTTTGTTTGACTGAAGTGAAGGATCGTGGAGGCAGAGATATTATGTAGATGTACTAGAAAAGCATCTTACCTGAACCTGGGGCTGCATTCCATTTGGGATTGTCATCATGAAGAGACACAGGCTTTGTTGTCCCACTGTGTTTGAAGAGATGTCTGAAATGTGCAGTGCTGTTTCATCACTTGAAGTTTTAAACAGCAGGAAAAAGAAAACACGAGAAAAGCATTTGGAAGTAGCAGCATTGTGAATGGAGGTAGAGGCAGATGCAGTGTGACTGACAGATAGCTGTTCAGTCTAGTAAAAACAGATGTGTACCACAAATGCTATCAGTATTCCGTGAGGATCTGTGTGCTTTGTTAAAAAATGCAGGAGATGACATGAAGCAATCAGCCTACTAAATCTCAAGCTGTAAGACAGAAGAAACCAGCCAGCACAGTGCACTGGGGATAGTGCTCCTGGGGATGGGGGGTGTGGGCTGCTCTGGAAAGGAGAGGATTAGTTGTTAATGAAAAGAAGTATGGGTATTGTCTTTTTCCAACATGCACCCTTTATCAGAGGGCTTGTTTTTGTGTTGGGTGCTTCCCTTTCCTCTGTCCAAACTTCCTGTAGTTTCCAGTTAGTTCCCTACCCCCATCAAAGTCTTTTTTTCTTGCTGTGCAGTTGCAGCTTTTTACTAAAATTATTTTTTTTATTCCCCTGAAACATTAATTTTTTTAAAAGACATGCGAAACATGGCTAGTTTTTCCCCCTTAGTCTTCTTATCTGGAATGGAAGTTCAAAACTGCACTATACATTCCCTTTGCCACCTAACAGCTGCTTCAGAATTAATGCTTATCCCAGAATCATAGAATTGTTAAGGTTGGAAAAGTCCTCCAAGATCGAGTCCAACCTTTGACAGGGACAACCAGGGCTCACTTTTCCACTTACAAGACAGACCTGACTCTTTTCTGGATTTCTAGTCCTATAAGCCAGCCTTTACAATCTCTTCCCTAGATTTTTAGAAGCTTTTAGAAATAAGTTTGGACTGATGTGGAGGAACCTGTACATTTTCAAATGAAATATTGGTTGTCTGTATGGCAGCAAATACAGCAAATTTATTTAGAAAATTAGAAATCAGTAGAAGTATTTTATAGGAGTTGTGATGCTTGTCAAAGTAAACTGTCTTTAATTTTTGTGATGATGAATCTGTGATTCAGTTTAAGGCTTTAAAATCTCTTAAGTGTGCCTGGAGTCACAGAGCTATTATTTTATGCTAGTGAATCTATCTGCTTGCCTTATTTTTGTCCCAAATGTTAGCAAATATTTTTGTTTCATGAACTCAGTGGAAAAAAATGTATCTTATGTTCCTGACAGGTTCATTAAAAAGTTTGGTAATGACAAATTACATTAGATTCATTCTAGATCTTAAAATTTACAATAAATAATTCACCTCCTTATCAGTAGATATGGGCCATTTCAGATTGTTTTAAAAAAATTATTAAATTCTTTACTAAGTTGTTGAAATGCTTAAATTTATTGCAAATAATCACACTTTTTTCAATATAAAGTAATTTTTGATTTTTAGGGAGGTTAAGGTATCTATGAAACAAGATTTATTTCCACCCAAAAATTCAGAAGCAGGAATTTTGGATAGTGCACTTTTTGTCAATCTTGAAAGGTACTGTTGGGAAGCAGTGCCACAGCTGTCCCCTCACAGACTAATTTGAAATAAATAGTTAAGGTCATGAATGTTTTTAATCTCTTTTAAGCAGCACAAACAGAATCAACCTCATTATTATTTTGTAGTGTTCACCACATGCATAAGACTTCTTTCAGTAGCAGTTACCCCCCTGGCAGGAGTCTGCATTTAAATTGTACTCCCTCCTTTCTGTGACCTACAAGCGTTCAAAGAGACACTATTCCCCCTTTCCTCAATTAAATCCTTCCTTTACTTTTAGAACCTAACACATCTTGCTCTCTCCTGAGATCCTATTTACAAACAACGGCAGTGCTAAATACAACAAAGCTAAAGGCAATTCAGGTTTCCTTTCACCATGATATCAAAGTTCATTAAAAGTCTGAGATGTGAAAGATCCAAAAAGATGCTGCAGTTCTGTGTGTGTTTGTCCATTGCTCAGTCTCCCTGTTGGAATTGCCAAAGGGGCTGGGCCACCAGGGCAACCTCTGGAACTGGAAAGTAAAAATGTAATCCTGTGACATGTGTGAACCATTTCAGTTGTTTTTAAAACCAAGTTTAAATATAGACAATATACTGCCCAGAGTAGGGATGAAATAATTTTTTCTCAGCTTTAGGACTTCAAAAGTTATTGTATCACTGCCTCAAAATTTGGGTATGGGAGGATGTCTGTGTGTTGATTTGTTCCCCCCTCTCCTGCTTTTTTGGTTTGTCTTATCCCCTGTTTTTCACTGAGTGTTTGCATCCTCACACCTTATGGGCCAAAGAATCTGAAAATATTTAACTAATACCTCTTACTGATTTTAGTGTTACCAAAATATTTTATTATTATTATTATCACAGGGTTTATCTGGAAAAACATCATGTAACCATGCAGATGCCTGAGTTTTTTCTCTGTAAGTCTGGCTGGAATTCAGCTGACTAAAGAATCGTGCAGACAAAAACTGGCAATTTGGTTTTGTATATTTCTTAAATGGTGAGAAACAGCTAAATGGCAAATCTAATTCTGAATTGCTACCTTGTTTTTACTTGAATATCACTTTTCAAGTTAGTTTGCTCTGTAAAAAATAGAATGGATTTTGGGAATGATGTTAACTACAGGAACAGAACCAGTCATGTCAGTGTAGATGCTAAAAAATATTTTCAGTGCAGTGTAAGTAAATCAGCTACTTGAGATGCATTATATTTTAAAGTGCATACTTAAATTCTTGTTTTGTGATTTGAGACTGCAAAATGACAGGTGCTTTAATTGCAGAAATATTATGAGGCAGGTAGAGGATTTTTCAGGAACTGTGACAGAAGAATGGCTGGCAGTAGGTGAAGTCTTCCAAGTGAAGGATATAGTCCAGAGCTTTTGTTCCTTGGGGCAGGTGATGCTCTTTCATAACAAGCATTTATCAAAGGCAGTTTCTTTGCCCAGATGTGAAAAAACCCCATCCTGACAGTGTAGCATGGCAATCCAGACAGGAGCAGTGGTTCAGTCCAGTGCAAGAACAGCTGTGACAAGTGACTTACATGCTCAGTGCACTGCTCTGTGAGTGGCACAAAGCAGCTGGGTTACAGTGTTGATCTCTGTTAGTTTCACAGATCCTATTTTCTTAAAGTGCTCATATGCTTGTCTCAGTGCTGGCTACCAGTTTTTTACTGGTTTGAACAATCTGACATGACTGCGTTTGAAATTGTGGGCGATTTGGAAGGAATTTGTTTGGGCCTTTTGTAGCATAGTTTTTATTCCAAGAAGAAGGGCTTGATATTTGATACAGGTTCTGAACTGAATTTAATTCCCTGGAAATGGATTTCAGCTTGTTGCTGTGAGCTCTGTCTGGGTTACTTTTATCTTCCAGTTTCTAGGAAGGCAGTTCGACATTGCAGTCATGAGGGCCATAAATACGGTATGTTAAGAGAGGGAGAGCTGACACACAGAATGCATCTCCAGTACCATAGCTTGAGGCTCTGTGCAAAAATAAGCTCGATATTTTACAGAAGATGGTCTTTGTATGTACCAAAAAGTGCGGTCCTGCAGCCTTCACCACCACTGATTTAGGCTTGTTAATAGCTGGACTTTAATCTTTGCACCTAACAAGCAGACTTGGCAATAACTATTAACTTTAACAGCGGTTTTACTGAAAAAAAGAATTGATTTTGGTGTTAGAAAGTTTCTTGGAACTGGCTGGACTCACCAGCTGTAGTTTTTACAAGAGTTTTGGCCAAGTCTCACTGGAGAAGGTGGTGCAAAGATGGTTTGACATATCCCACCCCACAAGTTGCTGAGGAGTGGGCAGGAAGGCAGGACACAGGGCATCACAGCTCAGCCTGCCAGGAGGCCACTACAGCACAGAAACACAAAACTAACCCTAGGAGTGTGAGTAATCTCAGCCCTTTCCAGTCAGACATCTAAGCACGTGTTTATGGTTAATGATTACATCCAGATGAATGCAGTAAGATGAGCTGTGATTAAAGTTAAACACATGTTTGTGTTTCTTGAAGAGGATTGAAATTACCAAATGCTTTAGTGCTGTGGGTCACCTCACACTGCTGTGTTTTCTAGAATAGGCTATCAGAGTCTCTAAAAAATGTTTAGTTTAAAAATATTATATATGTTTGAAGTTCAAATACATTATTCTTAATTCTCTTACCTATTTGTTTTGGTCTGGATTTTGATAAGAGTTACTCTGCTCCAGACTAGAACTAGAAATCCAAAGTGCTGATGAGGAAGAATTTGGCTTGTTGACATCCAGATTCTAGACTCAGAACCTGACCCTGTAATAGTATAACAAACTAAAACATTTCCCACCAACTTGTATTTCCCAGTAAGTACCCTTTTAAAATATGATCGGTGCTTCCTTTTGTTTGGAAAAAGGCACACACTTTTTTTGTGGGGAAGAGAGAAGAATTCAGGAAAGGTACTGCTTAAAATCACTTTGAGCTTTAAGTTATAATCTTTTTTATGTTTAGAAAGCAAGGAATTAATTGATGTCTTATATGAAATTTTCAGCATATTTCATTAAATAATTCAGCACTTTTTTGTTGCATGTTAGGCTTATTACTACCTTGTGAAGAATAATTTCTTTGCTTCTTTGAAGATTTAAGTGAAATAAGGCCAATCTTGTACCTGATCTTCAAAAATGTATCCATTTGCTTTATTGAAATGTATTGCCTCTTATGTAATATCTATTACATGGAGCATTATTTGTCCATGTATAGTGAGGAAAGAAATTGAATGGTGTGAGAGCTATAATTTTGTTTTTTTTTTTCTTGACATGCATTTAATTTAATCTGTAAAACACAGGTTATAAACCATGGGGATTAAAGAGAGACCTAAACCCAAACTAGGAATTTCTGCAACCCACATACGAATTTTCTTCAAAGCCTGGATCTTAACACCAGCCCCACAAGGGTATGATAATCTTGAGTTTTGCATTTTTACTTATCTTTATGAACAGCTGTTTATGAACAGTTCTGTTTTCAGTCTTAAAACAAAACTCTCTTTGCTGACCCTAAATGCAAAACAGATCCCCAAAGGGGTTTTTTTGCACAGCTGAGATAGAACAAGGGCCTCGAGCTCCCTAATTGAGCACTGGGAATTCCCACTGGCCAGGCACCAAAGGCAGTGTCTGTTGTGTTTCACCAACCTGAAATCCCTCCCAACCCTTCCCCAGGTCTATCTTCCTCCAGAGGCCACCCTCTGTCTTCTGCCTAGTCAGGGGAGAAAGTGGAACTCAGGGAAGCTGAAGTTGCACATTTTGAAGGCATTTGATCACCTTTATAAGAATTAAAAAAAAAAAAAAATTAAAAAAAATCAAGTGAGAAAACAATATATCAGTATTTTTAATTCCTTATGCTGGAGTATGGATAGGCAAAAATCCATGATGGCTTTGTGGGCTCTGTCCCCACAGGATCCCAGCTGCCTCTGCTGCCTTGGTGTGCTGGAGAAAACAGGCTGCTTTAAACAGGTTTGATGGAAAATGTGTTTTCATTGTGCATCAGTTAAGGTTATTAATTCCTACCGAATCACATTCTGTTTTCTGGTTGCATTTACTAAATGCCACTTTCATGTTGTAACAGTATTATAGATTTATTATTCTAATGTTACAGACTTTTATTCTAGGTAAAACTGCTTATACATTATTTGAGATATTTATTTAGAGACAGATGATAGGAAAACCATATAAAAGTAAATTATCTTGCCAAGCTTTAAATTATAAGTGTTTATAAGCTGACATAGTAAAAAGCAATTTAAAAGCAAAATTCATGCTTTCTACAGTGTTCAGTTTCCATAGTGTTGTCGCTCTCAAAATGAAGTTTCATATTCCAGCACTTAAAATTTTATTCAGATTCTCTCCCAAGTAAATTTACTTTTTAGGTTTCTTGTTTATTTTTGTGCAGATTTGGCCATTCTTGTGTCCTGTTTCTTGGTGGGGCAATGCAAACGTGGTGTCCTTTTGGGGTTGTTACAGATACAGCTTTTAGTTCAGTATTTCTTAAGCTCGTTCAAAGAGCAAGAGCCACTGGGCTCATTTGTGCTCCTGTACCTTGAAGCACACCACCCTTGAGCCCACTGCCAGAGGGGGGAATTAAGGCATGCTAAGATTTGGATTTGATAGCTCAGCTCCTCCAGGGCAGAGGGTGCAGGAGTTGCTGGGAGCAGGTATTTACCTAAAAGAGGGAGCTGTCAGTAATGAGACAATAAGGAGTTCATCCAGCTCTTGGAACCAGCTGTGCTCCTAACCCACAGTCACAGTTCATTTGCACTCCTGGCCCCTGAAGACCTGGATGCTTTCTTACCCCACAAGCATTTGTGTTTCTGTCTAACCTGGGCACAGGCTGCTCTGTGTCATTCAGTCATGCAGTACTGTACAAAGGTGATCTCAGTGTGATCCAGTGGGAAATCAAATAATCTGGCAGATCACAGAAGAAGGGATCTGTGTTGTGGAGTTCTTGTCACCTTGGTTAGTCATAAAATCCGTTCTGTGACGTCTCCTTGTAGAAAAGTGTTACTGAGACACCTTATTCAGCAGAAAAGTGGTTGGTAGGAAATTACTCTATGAATGCTTGGAGTGATTCTGAGTGAGCAGGCGGAGCCTGTGCTGGATCAGCATTTTTATCCTGTATGACTGTATTGATTTTGATCCAATGCTGTCAAATTTAAAGCCAGATTTACTCCACTGTCAAGCCACAAACTTCAAAATCTATCTTTAATTGAAGTGTAATGTGATATATGAAGAAGAAAAGTCATTAATTAATGTTGTCTTATATTTTGCCTATGAATGGAAAAATGCTGTAGTAGAGACTCCTAGGACTTGGATTTAATTTATTTGCTTTCATTTTAGCTCAGTCTCCCCTGTATCCACTGCAGGAAAGTTCTGCCAGGATTCCCTCTATGATTTGTTTAAAACTGTAAAATCTGCTGCAAGAGCCTGTAACCTGTAAAGCCAAGCACCATTATTTAATTTAAGGAAGAATTTCCTTAAATTGAATTAAATTAAATCAAGTTAGAGAAGAGGAAGATGGGGCTGAGAAAGAGCAAGGGCTGGAAGATAACCTTGAGAAACAGGTTTTGATATCAGGAAGATAGCATGACAGAAACAAAAAGAAGTGATGAAGAAGAAAATCTCAATCATATAGCCCCAGCTTGTCTGTCTTTTTTTTTTTTCTGTTTACCTGTTAAATGATTAACATAAATAAAAAATGGTATTTCTGGGGAAATGAAAAAAAAGTTCCTGTTGTGTCCTAGGTGTTCCCATTCCTATATATGTTTTGTATTTTACTATTAATCTTCAAATGCTATAATTTGTAGGAATCTAATTACATTACATTGCATGAAGCTGTATCTTTTTGAAGGAGTAAATTACATTTAAACTCTTTTGGAGTGTATGTGTTTTGTCTTTGATGTCCTTGCTTAGTAATTGCAGCTCTTGTTATCAAATGTTATACTTAAAGCAGTTTCATATTTCTCTGCTAACATTTTCTTGGCAAGTCTTCTGTGTGGTAAAACATTCTACAACTTGTTCTATTTAGGTAATATAAAGTATTTTTTAAAATATTCTCCTGTTTCAGAAAGTTGACTAAGTTCAGTTCAGAGGTACATGTCCATTACAGGCACAGATGAACGTGAACCCATGACTTTGGACAGGAGAAAAATCTGTGATTTCAAATGTTGTTGAGGGTGTGCAGATGCTCTCCCTCCTTGTGCTGTTGGAATGGTGTGTTCATAGCTGTGGAACTCCATGTACACAGCTGCCTACAATGCAGACCACGTGGATATTGCAAGAGTGCACTTCTTATTTCTCTTTCTAACTGGGGAACAAAGTTGTGTCTGGAAGCAGAAAAGGTTTCAAAACTTTACTTTGCTTGTTAAAACTGCAGTTTGTTTGCTGAACACATCCTAAACTTCACTGCATCTCTCTGCTTTAGCTCCTTCTTGTAAACCACTATTTCATTACAAAAACACTTACCTGCCTAAGCTTTTATTCCCAAATTATATTTCCATTTCTACAGGTTATATTTTTGTGTCTGTTACATCTCAGTGTTTCCAGACTGTAGGTATAGTTAGTGCACTTTACCTCTATTGTTTTGTTCAATAGTACATATTTTTATAAAGAAACATATGTTTAATACTCTCACCTTCTGACGTGAATGGGTTTTCTGTAATGTGCTCTGAAAAGGTGTGGAAAATACTAGTATTAATAAGGCTGAAATGTAACATTAGTTATTTCAGTGCTCACCAGACATTTCCCTACTCTTTATCAGGAGGTCCATGCAAACACCAAATGCTGAAGGCAAAGCTATGTTTGCTGATTCTGTCAGAGATGAAAAAAAAAATCCTGCCTGAACTTTTGCAAAACAGCATTTTCACAATTTGATTCCTTGGAGAAAAACCACAACCATTTAATATATTGTTGCACTTTCAGCAGGACTTTGTGCTTCCAGATTATTTTAGATTTTTGATTGCCCTGAAAGCATTAATTTATTGAGCTAACGTGGGAAGTACAGACCAAAGAACTATTTAGTTTACAAATGGTAACATCTAGTTTAAATGTAGGAGTGCTTAATGGTTTTAAAATATATAAAGACTAATTGTCCTACAGATTTTGTAACCAGTCACATTATTAATGTGTAGTTGTACCACTTGCAACATTAACTGTTATGTACTTGATAAACATGAGTCAGACACATAACTTTAAATGAAATCAGACCAGGTGAAAACTGCTGTGCCAGAATTAATCAACTACTAAATGACTAAATATTAGAACTTCTGGTGAATAAATTAATTCCAATACTTGTATGAATATAGAAATCTGGAAATATGAAAATTAATTTGAAACTGTTATTAATTTTTGAAGATTGAATAATGGCTACAGCCAAGATTGTGTGCATTTCTAAAGTTTAATTTTCTAGAACTCTGGTAGAACTCAATTTAACATGAGTACATAAATAATCCCAACTGATGTTAACAATTTGATTGTATGTTAATATCTTTGCTCATTGTTTTTCTTACATCCTTCCCCCACCTCTGTTGAACACATTTAGGGTATGACATATTTGCTCACCTTTGATCCATGTAACTTTTTTGATGGGCAGCACATAAATAGTCACTAATTGTTGGATCTTATTTATCATTGAGGTAAAGAGCGGCAGAATAAAATTTAAATCCTTTACTCCAGCAAACTCTCTGGCAGAATTTCACGTTAGAAACTTGCAAGCTTACAGAGCCTAGCAGACTATTTATGAGGGCAGTATCTTAAAGTCCTCATGTCTTTATTTTTTATGTTTGGGGTTTTTTTTCCCCTGTCCTGTGAGGAGTGATATGATCTGGTGATTGGAAGCAGAAAGGAAGCAAATTCTCACGATGTCTGTTCCAAGGATGTCCCTTTGTGGAACTTTAAAAAGGAGCTCATCCCATTTTTCAAGGGATTGAAGGGTGTAAGAGCATTAAAGTCCCCAGATACTGTACTCTGTAAAGGACGTGATACGCAGTGAGAAAAAAAATGTAATTCTAAACATACTTGAAGATAGAATGGTTCCTGAGACCAGGCAGGTCAGAGCATTAACATGAAGGCTCTACAGTACTTTTCCCTTTTACTTAAAAAACTCCCAAAACATTATTGTGCATTTGCAGCTTTGGTGTTCTGGCAACTTGGAAAACAATCAGATTGGCTGTTAAACCCATTTCGTATTTTTTTTACAGAATATCGTGAGTCTTGAGAGAAGGTTAAATCAGTTTTCTTTAAAGAAATATTTGCGTATAAATTTAAAAGTCCCCCCAATACTTAGCAAAACAACATGATCTTTTGAATTTGTTAGCTTGTCTGCAGTAAAAATGTTTTAATCCTGCTTGTTTCTGATGAGCAAGAATATCTTAACTATGTAATTTAAATTTTTGGCTATAAATATAGA